TTGAATAGCGAAAGGAACAATGATTTAGCAGTGCACTGAGATCGACAAGCTCGAGTCGCCGTAGCAGTGATTCGAGAGCCAAGTCCATTACACGGTGTCCACGCTCGTGAGTTAGATTTAGGCGAATCTTGCAAATGAGCCTCCACCGTGCATTTGCCGTTTTATTTCCTGGGTCATAAATATGCTCGCGAGGTGAACGAAACGATTGGATGAGAGTGAGCAAGGGAAAAAGAGAGAGGAAAGCATGGCACGCGGAGGAAAGGAGTCCCGCGAGAAGGGAAGAGAAAGAGGGAAGGGTTGGTCGAGGGGGACAGTGCAACATCGTATTTTCTGTTCGTTCATGCGGAATCGGCATGTCGTAGATATCGTTCGCGACCTTACTCTCCCGGTGGCGGAGTCCGGGCTCGGCTTCGGTTAACGGTGTATCGTGTCGGTGCTGTTCGCTCTTCTCGATTCACGAGGTAAGGACGCGGCGCGGAGTCGTGGGCCTTTTACGGCGTGCACGCTAAATCGTCGGAATATGTACCAATAGGAAGGCGATGGCCGGTATAACAACGGCGAATGCCGCCGCAAACGCGCTGCAAAAGAAGCCGTTTATTACGCACCGCTGCGGCGATGGCAGCGACGATTGCATCTCGCGAATATGTGTATCGGCGAGGAGATACGCGCAACACGACGCAACGCCGGCGGGAGGGCGAGTAAGTGAGAATTGCACGCGGTGCGACTATTATCATCGAGGGTGCGCTTTCGCGTTCGCCGCGACAACCCGTTAGTATTACTCTTCCAATTTTCCTCGAATTATAAGTATTGCATAATATGCGAACATAAAATATAATATATAATATAATAAGTATACACTGACTGTGTGTTAAAATACCTTTTGAGTAAGCTTTCTACATCAAAATTTAATTTTACTATAAACAGTATAAATTTACAGTTTTTTAAAACAGTCTTTGTATGTTGCTTTATTTATTGCATTTGATCGATCGAAATTATTTAAAGCAAATAGCACTTCCCCTAAAATATTTATTATAGATTACTGTTTAATAATATCTGATATATATAATAAAAATTGTACAAATTACATATCTATAAAACATATATATAGACTCGTTTCTCGTGACAATATACCCACCGCGATCCCACCGGTGAAATTATCGATTTGCGACAACCTGAGGACGACGTGTTCACCATAATTTTCGATATTATTCCAAAGAGAGACAGAGTGAGAGAGAAAGAGAGTCGAGCCGCGTAATCTCCATAGAGAAAAGAAACCCGCGCACGATGGGAGCGCGCGGCGTTCCCTGAATGGTGCAATAAAATTAGGCTACCATACATAATGCGTCCCGAGGCGCGCCACCGACAGACGGGACTCCCATACCTTCGCATTATCCCCGCGGTAATTCTCGGGTACGCGAAACGCATTAGTCATTTTCGCGTAGGGTGGAGAACCCGCGCGGGGAGCAGGAGAATGAAGAGGAGGAGGAGAAGGAGGAGAAAGAGCAAAAAAAAGAAGAAAAGGAGGAGAGGGAGGAGTAGGGAACTGACTTATATTCATCCACCTAATCCCCCTCTGATGATCAAAGATCCCCGACTGTTGGCGGCACCGTGGACGCGGGCAACAACGACCGCCGCCGCCGCCGCGTGCAGTTTCTTCTACGCTGCTGCCGCACCGCATCGCGCCGTGGGGTAATACAGAAACGATCCGTGCACTTCCGACGAGCGATTCACGTTTTCCGCGGCGCGGCTACTTGGGAGGCGAGCCGGTTGAATTAACTTAGCCTAACGCCTCGTTTGCCGTGGCTCTCCGCGTGCGCGCTTCTGCGGTTGCGTGCACGTATGTATGCGCCTCGCATGCGTCTGGTCTGATGCGTTCCGCACATACGTGTATATACGATGCATACACGTCGCGTCGTACACACGCATATACGCGCATGGAATACGCGTTGTTCGTCCCTCGCGGTGGCAGCGGCCGCGCGAGAGAAGCCCACTGGACAGGGGTAATAAAGCAACAAGACAATGACGGTGATTTACGCGGTCCTACGGCAAATGGGCTTACCCGTAAATTTTTGCACGGGTAGCACGCGCGTCGGCGCGAGAGAAAGGTGGAGAGACCCCTCGCGCGATTTATTAATCTCGTCCGTGCGACACGCACGTAGATGCGACTCAGACTCGGCTCAGCTTGACTGGACGCGGGGCGACGCGGCGAGGCCCAGGTGCTCTGGTGCTAGAGGATTATTTATTTATATAAAATACGCGACGATATATCTATCGAGCTCTATACGAATGGAACTGGGAAATGCGATTAGAATATTTTTCATGTATAATGCTACAACAAATAATTTTCACAGAAATTTATGTCTTATGTTCTGCGTAACGCAAATAATGCATTAATATAATGTTAGTTGAAACAGGTAGATAATTTTCTTTACTCTTAATAGAAAAAGAAGATTTTTTTGAGAGACAAAGGCGTGTTAATGTCAAAGATAAAAGATTCTCGTTTGTGAGTAATAATGAAAAATCAAATATTTGCGCATATCGCAAATTCATAGAAGACTTTTTTCGCGATAATTGTGTGAGCGTAAATCATGGTAGTCACGGTTGCACGCTGTTCGCAGATGTTACTGGAAAGCCATCGATGATATAATCATAATGCAATTATAGCTTCGAAAAAATATATAGGTATCACGAAAATTGTAAACCGCATGTTAAGGTAGTTGTATCGCGACAGTATTAGTCAAAAATAATGGTCACACTGCAATACGATAATGTATGAAAACTCTACTTATCTGTGTAAAACTTTTGACTGAGCTTGTACTGTTTCTACTGTTTTCACTCGCGTCAGTAATGTCAGTATACCAGTATGCTATCGAGGTTATTTTGAATAAATAGAAGAAATAGAAGCGAAAATGTCTGTTGAACGTTACAAAGGAAGATTAATTAAAAAAAAGTATTAAAGAAAAAACTTAAAGCCTTAGCGGCAATGTCTGAACTACATATATATCTAATCTTCATATGCGCAGTGTTGCAAGATCTTTACAGGTTAGCTGTCGTATGCGTCCATCGCTATGAGAAATTGTGTACTTTGTGTAACAATAGCTTCAAAACTAAATAGATAAGGGTCTTGTATTTTTGTAAGAATATTTTTACAAGTCTCTTTTGTCATCTCTTTGTTTTTCATTAAAATCCTATGAGTAGTTTGATCGCTACAATTACAAACGTGATATAGGAAGCCGTTTTCGTCCTACGATACATGTAAAAAGTGCTAAGTTTGATTTCCATTATTTCAACTTTGGTATAGTCAAGCTTTTTCTACTTGCACGTGTGTGTAGAGCGTGTTTGCATTAATATGCTGTTCAAATTTTAAAAGATTCCTATGAAAATGGGTTTTGTGATACAACTACCTTAAAATTTAAATTTACCCACATACTGACCATGGCTTCGTAAAATATAATAAAGCACAATAAAGTGATTGTCACATGTACGCTGCATTCGTATGCAACAATTATGAATTGGCTAAATATTCATCTATCTGTGTATTCAAATATATGCATAAAAGATGTTTTATTGATATCACGTATTTTATTAAATTCGTTAACCAATTCTTAATGATTAAACAAAGAAACTTAATAAAATGATTGATATCAATAAAGTATCTTATATACCTATATATGTGTATAAAAAATACCATTTAAATACATAAGATGAATACATGATATATGATTCTACGAAAGTATAGAAGTGAGCACGTCAATACTTAAAATATATATTCGTTACGTACTATTATTAATATACTCGGTATATCTAACATTCTAACATATAGGTCGACGATATTCGTTAATCGTGCCAACGCCTACAGGAAGGTCGACGTACTCGTAAAGAAGACTAGATACGACAGAGTTAATTAACGTAATTGTTATAGTATATAACGGAAACACAACCAGTAATTCTTCCGTACGTCCGTGTAAGCTATTGCGAAAGATTTGTTTCAAAATTATTGTGTTGTAAAGTTGTAACAGATATCATCGTTCCTGACAACGATTACCTATATAGCGTGTCTGCAGGGTATTTAATTTTTTATTTTAATTCTAAACTCCAAAAATAGAATTCGATATAATCTGTTTCAATGTTAAAAATTTTAATGTTATTATAATTAACAAATTTGTATTTTTATATAATATTTTTAATGTAGATAGATTTTATTTTAATGATTTGTGTGTGTTTCTCAGGATTTTTTTAAATACAGAATACCATATTCTCTCAAAATTTTTGATTAAATATAAAATATGTAAACAATTTTAAAAATTGCAGAGGATTTAGGGGGTTAAATAATATTTTCTAATAGATAAACTGATTTATATGACTTATTTATCCATTTTTAAATCTGACATCTCTTTAGTGATTCTACTTGTTACTGCTTTAACATCACGTTAAGAGAAACTAATATTACAGGAGTAACGATCTGATAAAGTTCGTCAAACGTAACTACATGAGAAAAGGTAAAACGGAAAAAAATGAATGAAGAAAAATGAATGTCATTTGTCAGTAAATTACCGTAATGTGAGTATGGAAGCATAAATTGTTACGAAAAAAATTGTATAATAACGAAGCCAAAGTAATATATGTTATATATATAATAAAATATATTTCTATACGTATATATTATATTAATGATAATGTCGATAAGTTAATATCGACTAAAATATATTACATATTTGCTTCAGTTAAAAAAATTGACATTTACCTCGACATTTACTTATAATAATATTTTTTGCTTATAGAATTGTATATGATTAAAAAATCCAATGTCAATATATACATATATTTATATTTTTTTATGGAAATGGAAAGTGAATTTATGCGGCACTGCAGGCGGCCATGTATACGCTTATGCAGCATAATTTGACTTATGTCGCAATTTCATTTATATGCAGGTGGCATGGATATATATTACGTTGGAATTGAGTTTCTGTGTAGAGTAGCATATCGGCACGCCCCAGTCGAGGTCTGGATTAAAAACGTGTTTCTCTCTCACAGTTTGTAATAGAGTCTTTGTTTCAGTTTCATTTAAAATGTTACCGTCAGTTGTATATCTGTATATTGCATTATTTTTTACGACAAGGATAATACACGGCCAATGTTCTTCGTGTTCTTGTAAATGTGTATTTTTCACGTATTTTTACAAACGTCGAGAGCGTATTAATACCGTGCGCATGTTATTTCTCAGGTGATCAACCGGATTTAGATTTCGCATCTGGTGTCAATTTACTCTATTACAAATGGTTTGTATCTATAGCTAAATGTCCAAATAATAATTAGCAATAATAATTAGTGTAAATTCTCGCTTTTCAGCAATATTGAAATTCCTGCAACAATCGTCTATCCCATCACAGTGCCCCAGACGTTACTCAGTGTGTTGGATGATAATAAACGGACAATATTCTACGTTTATGGGTATTTGCAATTTCCAGAAGACCCAAATGTTCAGTTAATGATGGAAGGTATAGCGTTTATATGTTAAAACATTACAAAATCAACAAGAAGCAATGAGAATTAATGTACGTTTATAATTTTATATTAGCGCTTTGTTACGGAAGAACGGAAAACGTTGTGCTACTCGATTGGAGTAAATACTCTAATGGCACTTACGACAACGTTTTCAGAAATGCTGAAAAAGTAGGAAGTTTATTTGCACGAAGTATACAATTGCTTGTGGATAGCGGCCTGGATGTATCAAAAATTTACATCGTAGCGCACTCCTTGGGTGCTCACATTGCTGGTTTCGTCGGTAAATGCAACGTCTTCAATATATATCGAATCACAGGTATATAATTAAATTATTTTTAAAATGTGTGTGTTTTATTTCTATTTTTAATAAATTAATTTTTATTTCTAATTTTTATTTTTTAATTATTTTATTACTTTAAAATTGTTTATTCTTAAATAACAATTATATTTTATGGCTGCGATATTCACTGCCAGTACTGAAAATCTGTAGTTTACGTCACATACACTATAGATTTTTAGTACTGGCAGTGAATAACGAAACGCAGCCTGTTTTACCTTCACTTATCAATTATCACGTTAACGAGAAGTTGGCAAGAAATCTGTTAAGAAATTTATAATTTGTAGTTTCATGTATATACGGTGCATTATAATATAATATTATTTTGAAACATTTCTAAGTGTAAAATTATTGTTTGTAGCATTAGATCCAGCGAATCCTATTTTTTACCTTCCCGGATGTTACCTCACGCGTAACGATGCGGCGTGGGTCGATGTCATCCACACGGACATGGGTATATATGGCTCCCCGATATCTACGGGAACAGCGGACTATTACGTGAACGGTGGAACTCGTCCTCAACCTGATTGTGAATTGCTTGGCCCCGCGTTAAGCCAAACTGGTAATAATAATGCAACTAAATATAGCATTGTCAACATGCAATAGATATTAATAATATTTATTAATAAATATTTAACAATGAATAATTTGCTGGTATTATTTTACATTATTACAAAAAGTTGACAATGCTATAATAAATAATAATATCTATTATTGGACATGTTACAAGTAATTATTAATAGAATTAAGAGAATTGCAATTAATCTGAAAATTGGGAAAGTAGTTTATTGACTTGTATATTGAATATATTATAGTTATTTTTATTATTTCGATTGTTTGAAGAATTATATCGAACATTGTTTAAAATAATTATGTCAAATGTTTGATATAAAATTGCAAATAGGTAATTTACGTTTTATCCTAATTGATTTTGTTATATTGCTACCAGATCTCTGTAGTCATCAAAAATCAGTCGTGCTATATGCAAAATCGAAACGTCATCCTATCACATATGTTGCAAAGGAATGTCCCTCCTATCTTCACTACATATTAAATACTATATTAAATGATTGCAAGCAAGTTGGGCAGATCGGTATTGGATATACAGCAACAGACATGTAAGATGATACATAATATTTTATTTAATTATTTAGCATAAGTAATCGGATTAACTGTATGAATTGTTTTCTTTTAGTAATAAGAAAATGTTAATTTTTAACATTTTTTTTTGCAGACGCGGGTCATTTTACCTTTCTACAAATTCAATATAATTCAGTTATGCCGTATTAGAAGGTTTATTATAACAATATTAGCAAAGATTTGTAAAGAATGTAATAATGTGATAAATGTAATAAAATAGAGAATCTTAATTGTATGATTCTGTTGTATGTAATGAGTGTCCCAGATTTATCAGATTATTTTCCTTATTTTACAAATCATTTGATAATTATAAAGTCGCATCTTCTTAAAAAAGATTACATGTTAATTTATATTTAAATATACATATATAAAGCAACTACTATTTGCATCTGTTATTCAAATAAGGCCAATAAAAACGTATTTTTTATCTTGAATAGAGTTTAACATATATAAAATTTAAGAATCAGTGTTAAAAGTTATTTTGCTTGAAAATTTTTAATTGCAGCAAATGATAATTCTTTTAAATATTTTTTGAGGAGAGAGAGAGAGAGAGAGATCGACCCGAACAATTGGATAAAGAATAAGAAATAGTCAAATAGATAATAGAATAAGTAAAATATAATTTGCGAAATCTGTGACACTATGTCAATTTATAATGTTTGCTGAAAGAATTGCAAATATAATATCGTGAGAAATTCGCACGTATAATTTGATAATTTTAATAATAAATTATTTTTCTTAATATTAATATCAATATTTTCGTCATCTTTGATGAAAGATGAACGATTTATGCAACCCATAAATCACCCCAAAGTTATCTGATTATTTTTAGAAAAAGAATGACTTTAATAATAAAAAATAAATTATTTATATATTAGACTATGTTTACACCGCGGCTTATAATCCGGTTTAATAACTACCATATACTATCCGATCCAAAATTTTTCTTTTTTGATCATAATGATCACTTATAGATATGAGCCTTTTTGATATTTAAACTACAACTTTTTTAGTACATAAATATCAAAAATTGATTCAAATGTTTAGAGTATCAAAATAGGTTCATATTTAAATGATCATTATAATAAAAAAAAAGAAAAATTTTGGATCGGATAGTATACAGTAGTTATAAAACCGGATTATATATAAGCAGCAGTATAAACGTAGTCATAGAAACGCAAGCATGCGTCATAAAATAACATTATATCTACAAAAGAAAATGTGATTGTATTATTATCAATATGTTAAATATATTAATTTAAACAATAAAATCTTACAATTAAGTGCAAGTGCCAATCTTAGGCCAGACTCAGTCTTGCATTATATGTGTACCTTATTATATCTGTACATACTTGGTGCGAGACACTACCGTGTCGCTTGATATATACGAGACCGCGGTCTAACCATTCTATTATCGGTGAGAGCTATACTATCCCTTTTTATCACACCCACCTTCGAATTAAGCTTGAACACGATATTCTTTTCCGAGCATAGGTATGGCAGATTTATCGGACGATTACACGAGAATCCCATGACTTCCATTACAACCCGAACGTGTATTTCTCACATCCACGCGCTGGCTGTTATTACTTTTTTCAATATCTCGTCATTTGTTAAAGGATTATTGCCGACGCCTCGGTTCTGGATTTGTAGCTCGAGAGATCCGAATCTCAAGATTAAACGCCGTTTCAAAACGCGTGAATAATTCTCCGGAATTTATTGTCCCAAATTTAGCATCGCTTATGGACAAATTTAATTGGGATTATTAATTTATTTTCCTTTCGTCTCAGAATATTCAAAGGTTTAATGTATCGCGCTTATGGGCATTTAATTTTCATTCTCGCGGATTTCTTAAAATTTCTAACATTTTCGACAATTTTTATGTTAAAAATGCTCTAGAGTTTATTTATTGTACAAAAAACGCTGGATATATATATATATGTATATTATACATATAAGCGTACATTTAAGTTTTAAGTTATACATATCTGCAGATCTATAGTACATAACACGATGTAATCGTGCTTATTATTTGTATAAATATGAAACAATAAAAAAACTACTTTAATGTTTCACGCATCTCTATGCGTTATGTTTTCCATCTCTTTCTATATTCCTCCTCTTACGGTAATAATTGCATATCTGAGAAGCGAGATACTCTTGGCGGAGGACGTGCTTTCTTCTTACGATATTAATTTACGAAAATCTCGCCTTACGACGCCGTAGGTACGTCGAGAGAGATGAAAGCAACTTTAATGTTACAGCCGGCAATATAATGCATTCTAACACTTTATGTCACGTACCTAACTCTGTTCTATAAAATGCAACGGAAATTTTCAGAACTTACTTCTCGCGTAAGAACAAGCGAGCCGAGCCGGGAGAGAGCGAAAAAGCTTTCATATATTTGCATCGACAAGCAGGGTGAAATGGAAGTTCTATCATCGGCGGTAATCAGAAGCTGCACTTGCAGACGGCAAATATCGTAAATGTCAGACACCGGGAGGTATTAAGCGACTTATCAAAACATCGGCATTCCATACGCGTTCATATTTATTCATACATCCTACGCCTCTTTATTTCTAATGATTTTCACTTTACATAACATTAAATTGTATCAGTTATTATTTTCTACGTATCATAATGTACTGTCGAGTGTATTAGGTATCAGAAAAAAATTAACGTTAAAATTTTCGTAAAAATATTTCTATTTCATTCTCGATCGAATTGACGTTGTTCTTTCTTTTCTTTTTGCTATAATAAATCCACAAGACACGTATGCTTTTTTATTTCTCATAACCTCTATTTTACAGAAAATTGATATTAAATTGTGTCAGCTATGATTTTCGTATGTATCGTAACGTACTATCGAATGTATTAATTATTAGAAAAAATTTTTGTCAATATTTTAATTTCAAAGCGCCCCCGATCAAATTGATGTTCTTCCTTTGATTGCTACTAAATTCACTTACGTCTTTCTTTTTCTTTACTCCTCATAATCTGTACTTTAGAAAATTAATGTTAAATTGTATACCATTTACGATTTTATAACGTACTGTCGAGTGTGTTAGCAATCAGAAAAAATTTCGTAGCAATAATCCCACAAAGCGCTCTCGATGGAATTGACAACATTCTTTCTTTTTCTTGCTGATAAATCTGCAAGACAAGAGCGCGAAATGCGCGGCAATAAATTTGTTTATAAAAAATTTCGTAAGCAAAGCGAATAATATTCGGAGAACAAGCAACAGAGAATGTTTTATAATTTTTAAGTACGTTGGCGGCGATGGTGGCGATCATCGTTTTTTATGATATGCGCGATTATCGCGCTGCGGGAACGATCGCGAAGAAATTTTTACAATTTAACGTTAATTTTTTGTAAAGTAGAAATTATGAGAAATAAAGAAACACACGTAAGAATAAATTTGAAACATTTACGACGAATTACGTGAACGAGCGAATTATGTGCCCGTTCTTTAACGAAAGGCGGAATTTCGTGGAAGCACATTTTAGCTTGTTCGCACTCTCAAATATTTATTCGTTTATCGAAACAAGTAAGTATACGCTCTCTCGTTCGCGTTCGTTCGCGATCGCGACAAGAAAAGTGAGAACGCCAAATACGCGACCGTCGTTCTCTTCAATCAAGCAAATGATTATTAATTCCCGCACTTAACGAAAGATTCACGCTATTTATTACGAAACGTCTTCTCGCGCAATTCACTAATTCGGAGTAATCGAAACGGAGGCAGAAGACGCGAGATCCGAGGTTATCGTCTCACAGCGACATGCGGGACAATGATTCTATTACGCGATTCGGATGTATCTCGCTTCGAATAATTTCTCATATATGTATAATTCACTCACCGATCGCGGAGCACTGCAGGAGACCCGCCAAATCACAGCCGGCAGGGTTATCCCACGAGGGTTATCGTCTCACTGCAACACGCGGGACAACGATTCTGTTACAATTCGGATGTATCTCGCTCCAAATAATTTCTCATATATATATATATAATTCACTCACCGATCTCGGAGCACTGCAGGAGACCCGCCAAATCACAGCCGGGAGGGTGACACGTACGACATCCAGCACGGCACACTCGGCGTTTATCTCGTCCGGCGACGGCATCCCACTCGTTGCAGTCAACGCAAGAAGGAACGGAGTATTCGGCGTACATTCAGCACTTGCAACACACTGCTACCGGATCTCTTTTCGTTCACGAGAAAGAGGAATCACACGATCGACACCGTCTCGCACCGCACCGACCCGTGAACGCGTCGCGTATTATTTTCGTGCGCCTCTGTGCGCCTCACCGCCGCGCAGTCAGGTGAGCCGTCGTACGCGATTGGCTGCTCGCGAGTCGAGCCCCCGAGTTCCGGCCAATCACGTTAGACCGCTCTCAGCCGGCGGCGAGCGGCCGCGGCGGCGCGGCGTATCGGGTGACGTACTTGGGCACGACCCGCGCGACCGTTGTAACTTCGAAATAACGTACCTCCAAACTCCAAAGTCGACGCGCGGACGATTAATTTATCGGCGATCGGCCTTGTCACTTGTTTTCGCCAACGCTCGACGTACCGTCGCTTACGAAAGTTACTCCGCTATCATTTACTCGATGAATCTCGCACAGATATGAAGTGTCCGTGCGTCCGTCGCCGTGCTCCGTGCTCCGTGCTGTGTTTTTCGGTACGCGCTCGTTCCTGCGGTTGGCACACCTGCTCCTCGTTCCGCGGCAATAC